GACTATAATATTGAAAAATCTTAAATTATTGACTATATTTTTCTTTTGCTATTGTCCCTACTCAAGATCAAACTTAGTATCAAAAGTATGAAATTTGTTTGTTTAGGGTTAGAGTCAAAGCACGTGAAGGGTTTTGTCAGACGAGATGGTATGAGTTCACAAGCATAGGTCAGAGGACATTATTTCATTGGTGGATCTATGATTGCAGAAAATGGGAGTAATCTATCATAGACTAAAATGTAATTTTTATTTTTTTTTAATGGTAAAGCTATAAGTCATTATCATGAATAGGTAAATGAGCTGGTTGATTGCTTTGCTGGTGGTGTAAGAAATGAAGTTAAAGCTAGTAATTGGTTCCTTCACTTGCCATGGACTCCAAGAAAAGCATTCACATCTTCCTTTTTTGTGTGGCGGCATTTGATTATAAGATTTCTATATGTAAATATATAGTTTGGATTCAACACATTAGAGAGATTAATGAAATATATTTGTGAAGAGAAAAGATGATTTACGAACTTATGGTATCGGATGGAGTCCAAGTTACAATGGGTGTCCAATTTCATCATGGGATTTGTCAAGTTGAATCAACCAAAATAATTTTGGACAAAGAAAATTGAAATATGTTGCTAAGAAAAAGTATACAACATATAATGCATGGTAAAAAGTCATGAGTATTTCAACAACAACAAAAAATTATTGTTTGAAGACACATGTTAAGTCATGTATTAGTGTTGACATATAATTGTTGGAAATTTTAGCATAAAAATAGCATGTAAGTAGTTATTTTGTAGTACAAATATATGTGGGGTTCACTTCCAATTTGGGTTGGGTCAAAGTGGATTTATACTATTCGTAGTGAGACGAAAAAATTGATATGTTGTACGCTTTAAAACGGATAATGGGTGAATGATAAATTGATTATCAAAATAGACCTATTTAAGTTAGAAAAGAATGTGGAAAGGCTTTGGAAAAACACTTATCCCACCATGGTTTGGGTAGTGGGTTTGCACCACTATATATACAATAGCCTTTTGGAAGGAGGTTGAATTGTATACCATAGATGTTTTCTCTTGGAACCTGAAAAGGCTTGACCTGTGTACACGAATGTTGTAATTAGGTTATCAACCAATTTTGACTTATTTTACAACTATTAACTGTATGTGTGCTTGATTAATTAGTTTTTTGTAAGAACTTATTGCTCCAAAATGCTAAAATTTATAAAGTTGTTTAAAGTAGCTTTTGAGAAAGTCATTTTGTATGTAATCAGCTAATAGCTAAGCTAATTTACCAAATACTTTTCTACAATAAGCTAATGATATCAACTAAGTCAAACCCACTAACCCAATAAGCTAACAGCTATTTACCAAACATCTTACCCCTTTGTTTTTGTCTCTACCTCTCTCAACTCTTTTCTTACGAGAAAATTATTGTATTATTATTATTATTATTTTTTTTTACCATCGTCAATTATTAATGTTAAGTCTTAGCATTTAGTTATATTTATTACTCATTAGAAATAGACAAAATACAGCTGTGTATATGAGATGGAGTATATTGCTGTAAGCAGGTGATTGAATGACAATACAACATATGTCAACAACCAAAACCCATAACCTTTGTAGGCCAAGATTGAGCAGACAAATTCCTTAGCTTGTCTACTTACTAGGGTTTGTGACCTCCACGTTTCCAGTGTTTTGACAATATTGTCAAACTGTCAATCCATTGCTTCCGGTGGAACAGACATTTGACAATTCTTCCATGCATTCACAACAACTCTACTGTTGATTGTGAAAGTTGTAAATAAATTTTTAAAAAGAAGCTAGGTTTATTACCCAACCCTAATTATTTGCACCTCTTATATAGGTAGGTCTAACTACTCTCTTTGATTTAGGAAAAACTTGTCGTGGCTATTTGAAAGTGCGTTGGTATACTAACTTAGATTGTTCATAGCTAATCGACTCAAATTAAGAAAGCTGATTGACAACTTCCACATAAAATTGAACTTTGAATCTTGAAGTTATCGAGCCAATTGTTCGTATTATTTATCCGTATTCTTATTATTAATCAAGTGCTAAATTTAACACCCCAAGTTCAAAACTCAACACTCAGGGCAAATTATTGTGTGGACCATAATCCACACAATGTTACGTGGACCATAACAAAAAAATACATTTTTAATATACTAAATGTACATTATTTTTGTACTGAATGTACGTTATACAATATAATGTACACTCAAAACAAAAATAATGTACATTATTTTTGTATTTAATGTACATTATTTTTGTACTGAATGTACATTATTTTACGATAAGACAAAATATAGTCCACACAACTTGTGTGGACCATGAGTGCAAAAAATTTGGTTTGGGTTATAGGCTAAACAGCCCATTGTTCGTACATTTGGGCAATCCGGCCTAGTAAAGGATTAGACATTTGAGGACTTTAAGGATGATGGGTTGTGTTGGATGAACTAGCTGCACTTCTGCAGCCCTTTTTACTCTTAGTGGTGTTGAGACCTTTTGTAAAGACAACATTAGGCCCTTTTAAGTTATTCGGTTCCATTAACTCAACATACTATAAATAATATGTGAAATATCTCTAGTAAGAGTGTTTAAAAAAGAAAATAATATATATATAGAAGTAGTATCCATTAGTTTTATTCCCAGATCAATGAATTAGTTGACTCATGCTATGCCACTAGTTCATCTATTGGTCCAAATATTTGGGTTGATTATGTCTCTTCTTGTATTGAATCTTTGATTTAATAAAATGTTTGAAGTTTTGGTTTTCAAAAAAAAAAAAAAAAAAAACTTATGTGTTCAGTTGCTTGAGTATGATGAATTGCTAAGAAAATGACATAATAATAACGTAACAGTGCAAGTGATAGACATCAAATTTGAGTTTCACACAATTAAGGAACTCCTATATATAGCCCTATTTTACTATTTATACATACTACAATCTACGTAGAATACGAAACTAGCTTCAAGTCTTCAATGCATGACACTTTTGTTGTGTTGGTAGTGAACGTATTGTGTGGGCATTAAATGCTGCTAAAGGTGTTGTTTATCTTGTTTAATTCGAAAAGGATGAAGACGAGCATCTGGAATAATATAAGACTCGATTCCGGGTCATTGTTCTCAAATTTCACTCTTTATGACTAATTGAGCTGTCCATGTGGACAATGTGTTTATCTTATTGGATATGTATACTTGCATATAAAAGTCTCAGGGTCTGGGTTATTACTTGGACCACTCCAATGAACTATCTTTAATTTGATTTACGGGATAGTATGTAGTTACTATCCGAATATGAATTCTAAATGAAGTCTGCTTTGATCTTAACTGATAAAATTATAATAAAGAGGTAAACCAACATAGGTTATCTCACTAGTACAGAATTGTTCACCCGCGACTCTTGTACAAAAGTCGTGTATCTTAGAGTCACGGAGAGTTGTGAATCAGCGACCCTTTTAAATAAAAAAGGATCGTGATTTTTTTCTTAAATTAGGGTATTTGCAACCCTTTCGATTCTAAAAGGGTTGCTGGTACCCTTATTTTATTTATTTTTAAATCCGCTACCCTTTTAATTAACTTTATTTTTAAAATCTTTAATTTTTTAAAATTAAAATCTTGTACAGAACACAAACTATATATCAACATAAATACATAATACTATCAACACAATAATATCAACACAATACTAATTAACTATCAGCACACAATATATCAACACAATACAATATTAACTATCAACACAATATTTTCTATCAACAGTATAATAAGAATCAACACATAAAAATTGAAATCAAGATAATTGTTCAACATGACATTATATCAATTAATAACGTATAATACTTAACTAATTAAGATAAAAGATAATATTGAACCTAAAAAAAAAAAAAAAAAAAAAAAGAAGTTACACCCACTCTCCAAGTATTTTGCCCACAAGTTTTGAATGCCATCTATTCTGTTGGTAGAATACATATTTCTTTCAAATGCCTACAAAATAATTTAATTAATTAAATATTAAATATGTTAATAATGGAGTAATGGAATTATTTCTTATAGACGGTTCAAACAAAAAAGGCTAATAATATAAACCATCACATCGGTCACTCATCCGTTTTAGATATGTCGAAATATGAAATTATTAAAGGTATTTTTGTCTTTTTCAAATTAAGATATCAAGTGTGAGTGTGAATAAAAGAATTTAAGTTGTAAGATCGATCTCAATTCACAGTTCTTCTCCTCAAATTAAGGTAGGATGGGGAGAAGAACTGCGAATTGGAATCAATCTTAGGGTTTAAATCTCATTATTCATACTCAAATTGGGAACTTAAATGACGAAAATACCCTTTAAAATTTTAGATTTCGGCATGTCTGGATGGATGAGTGACCGATGTGATGAATTTTGGCACTAAAAAAATTAGTCGTGGATGAAAATTGGTACTAAAACAATAGTCATGGATGTAAATTGGTAGAAATTAAATATGTGGACCAAAACTGTTACTCGGTATTTTACTAATACTCGTGGGATTAAAATTGGTATTTGCTCTAATATAAACTTATGATATGATTACTAAGCAATTGTCTAACCAACGAGTTATCCATTCGCATTACTTGAATTCACCCCTGTATTTTGTGGAGTACAAAGTAGATGCTCTGTTATGGTTAATGTGCATTATGAAATGTAGTTTAAACTTGCATGAAGCTAAGTGACAATTTGCCTAATTTCTTTCTTGATGATATATCACATTTCCATACAAGGAACTCCTATTTATATATATCCTTATTTATACTACTATATAATCCTCGTAGAATACGAAACTCGATCTCATGCATCACATCTTTTGTTGTGTTAGTGGTGATAACAACGGTGTATATTAAATGCTGCTAATTTCTTTAATTTTCTGCTTATACACCAAGTATTTTCCAATCAGGATAGTTTTAAATGTTATATATCACAGGCAAATTAAATCTCTTCATTCAATTACCATTGTTGAGATTTCATTGAAATTGACAAATCTGACAAACAATGTCAATTAAACATAAGATTAAACTTTTAATTAAAATAAAGATTAAATTTTTAATTGAGACCAAATACTAAAACTCTATTGATCATCATTGTTGGTAGCCTCGTCAATGGCGCAAGATGCAAGAATTTGTGCTTTTCTTGATTCTTCTTCCCAATTGATCCTAGCGATAAACGTCACCAGAACCACCAAGCAAACTGTAACTCCGGCGACGAAACCCGTCAGCAATCCGGCGAGTCCGAGGTGAACCTTAAAAGCCAAAATCACACCCAGCGGCAGCGCCAGCAGGTAGAATCCGCAGACGCTGGCGTATGTTCCCAGCCACGGCCTCGCCGTTCCCCGGACAATTCCCCCGGAAACCACCACCGGAAAATTCACCACCTCCATAACCGCCACTATCAGCATCATCTTTTTCACTCCCACGATGATCCCTTTCTCCCGCGTGAACAGAGCTCCCCAGAACCCCCTCGCACCGGCCATGGCCGCGCCGCCGAGGACGCCGGAGACGGCCGCCAAACCCAGCGAGACACACGCGGAGATCTTCGCCGGCGCGGCGGCGTCGGCGCCGAGCTCGTTGGCGACGCGCACGGACGCGCAGGTGGAGAGTGACTGCATAACAGAGAACAACAAGTAATCAAAGTTGAGAACAATGGCGATAACCCCCAGCGCCTCCTTCGCGTCCGGGAGGTTTCCGGTGAGAAGCACTAAGATCTCGTAGCACCACCATTCCAGGCAAGTCGTGAGGCAGCAGGGTCCGGCGAGTTTAAGCAGGCTGACCCAATCGCCGCCGCTTTGCTCCCACCACCCTGTAAGGTTATGAAAGCCTGTAAAAATAGTAAAATTAGCAGAAAATTACAACTAAGCTAATCTATAAATAGAACTGATAAATAAAGAAATAAAGAAATAGTTCCCACTTCCCACCTTTCCTGTTTTCTTGTATCACAACGTATATACAAAGCATCGCCAAAATCATGAAATCTGTAACCCAAAACGCCATGGAAACACCTCGAATTCCCATTGATTTTGACAGAAACACGTTTAAGGGCACATGCAATCCGACGGCTAAAGCCGTGGCCGCCATGATCGGGACGGTTACGTTCTGGGCAGTTAAATATATCTTCAAAGGGCACAAGAACGACGTGATAACTAAGTCAGGGAGGAGATACACGACATATTCCTTGGCCACAATCGAAACATCGTGTTCTTGTCCGAAGTGGAGAAGAATCTTGTCGACATTGAGCCACAGGAGAGCGATGGGGAGGGAGATAAAGAGGAGCAAAGTGGCCGCCATGAGAAGCGTCTTGTGGAGGAGGCGGAAATTCTTGGCGCCAAACGCCTGGCCGCAAATCGGCTCCACGGCGTAGGAGAGGCCGTTGAGGACGGAAAATCCGGTGACATTTGCGAAGGTGAAGCCGAGGGTGGCGCCGCTCAGGGAAAGCTCTCCGAGACGGCCGAGAAACGCCGTCGTGATGGTTAGCTTGGCGAACCACGTGAAGTTCATGAGCAGCAACGGCAGCAGTATCGGGCGCTGCACTTTCAGCTCCGACAGCGTGGATTTCACCAAACTTTCCGACCATGTTTTCGGCGAGGATAAGGTTGTTGGCGAGTTCTCTTCCAATCTCGAAGCAATATTCATTATTGCGGTGTTGCAACTAAATTGTAATGTCGTTTGGTACTAAATTAAAAGGAGACAAAACGAGGAAGATGAGGTTGGGGTATGTCCTATGTAGTATGTAGTGGGCATGAATTTCGTGAATTTCCTTGCGAGGATTGCACAGAAAGAGTGGCGGCTTACTTTGTAACGGCCAATGAAGGAAGAGGGCATTCCGTTTCCAGTTGGGGAATAAATTAAAATAAGTTTGATAGTGAATTTATAGTGCGTTGTGACAATAATGCAATTAAGCTAAATGAATTTGTAAATTCAATCCTAGAAAGTAGAAACAGTGCCATCACACTCCTTTCAATGGCAAATGGCATGTAGCTAGATTTATCAAAGTGATTCTCTAATCTAAAATTCGAATCGAATGTTATGAATTAGGCATAGTTCAACATACTTGAAAATTATATTATCCTATGATCAAACTAGATAGAATGTGATGTGGTAAATACGGTGATTTTCACAAGCACGTACATGATTGTTGGACCTAAGAGTTTAATAAGCTGCTTAGTTAATGACGTAAGGTTAAGGGTTTCCAAGCTTGATAAGGTTAGAGTTGTCCAAAAGTTCACCATCTTCGTATTTAATGTGGTATTTAATTTATAGGAGGCGTGATAGGCATATGCCGGCCTCTTGGCATGCGTGGCACATGGAGCGCATGCACAGGAGAAGGTCAGAGACTTTGCTAGTCCCTCCACATGCTTTAAGATTCTTGACTCTCTCGGGCCCACCGCTATTAGATTCGACTCAAAGAACTGGGCTTAAAGCTCCAAGTACCATAGGTCGGGCGGTCGACCCCGACCTAATATGGTCGGGGGTGAAGTAATGAGGATCAGGCCTCACTGGCGGCAAAAACCATGCTCAACTCGCAATCTAGGTCGGGTCATCGTGTAGATAGGTTTGGGTACGGCTCCACTCGATACATGGATAGCCCTGATACCAATAATTTATACGCTCCAGTATCGTTGAGAGTAATCCCTACCACAATGGATTCTTGACTTCTTGTGGATATCCATGGTACCAATCATTTATACGTTCCGGTATGGTTGGGAAAAATCCCTATCACAATGAATTCTTGTCAACACCTTTTCAGTTAAACCTTTGCATAGAATTTTTTTAGTGCTATTTATCTCTGTTGTGTGGTTGCGAACTATTACACATAAGTGATACATACCCTCACATCATGTCTGTGGATTCCTCTTATTACCTAAAAAAACTAGATGCCTAAGGAAAGAAAACTTATAATATAGATAAATAAAATTTACTTTCTAAGAATTTCTATACTATATTTTAGTTTTTTTAAGCTAAAAAAAACAAAACAAAACTTGACGGCCCATATTTTGAATTGACAAGAGAAACGGTCTGTGCAATCACTATTTAAGAATATACACATAATAAACTCTACTCTTATATAATAATTGAATTGTTCACAAGTCACATACGAGATTGGACGGACCAATTTTAAAAGTTGAAAATTGTGATACTTGGAAAAATAAAAGCTCATATAAAAGTTTGGTTCTTTATTATTTGTGGTGGTGGCACAGAAAGATGATCTCCTTCTTTATGGATGATGGAGATGGCAATCATTCTATGGTACCAATTATTAATTAAGTTGGAAACCTTTCATCTGTGAATTGAAGAGATATTAATAATATTGAGTACAATTATATATTATATACTTGACCAGGACTATGTGGTCTAATGGTATCCGGGTTGGACTTCCATTTGGAAGGTTGTAAGTTCAAGCCTCAGTGGAGGCGTTATTGGTTCTTTGTGTTTCAGTAGGTTGAGAAAGTATAATAATATCTAATTAATCAAAATACCATCTGAGGTTCTCCGAGTATAGTGGTTTTGCCATATTTAGTCCTAAACTATCAAGTTGACCATATGTGGTCCTTCGACTTTCAAACATAACCATTCGTGGTCCTTCGACTTTCAAACTTAACCATTCGTGGTCCAAGTTAACCACACATGGTCCTTCGACTATTAAATTTTAACCAACCATGGTCCTTTCATGAGGACCACAACTGGTTAAATTTCGAAACTTGAAGGACCATGGGTGGTTAACTTGGACTACGAATGGTTAAATTTGAAAGTCGAAGGACTAAAAATGGTCAATTTGAATGTTTAGGACTAAACGTGGAAAAATCACTATATTCGGAGGACCTCAGATGGTATTAACTCATAATAATAATATATGTACACCTATTATTATCGATATTATACTTCCTCTAGATATATATAAACAATTCAAATCGAATTGGGGGCGTGAAGAGCCTTTAAAGTTGGGGATTTAACCGTTAGGGAACATTATAAACAATTCTAAAGAAGTTCATCAGATCAGTTGCACATTAACTTTAGGTGATTAATTAGTTAATGACTTAAAGGCCTAACTAGAATATTAATGAAAGAATCATGAATGGATAAGAATAATACATAGTCTATAGCCCTATTTTGGGTTGGCAAACATTCCATGAGAACCTACGAGAATGATACTTAGGAATTGAACAAAATGGCCGGTTGTTAGATAATAATATCTATCAGAATATTTATAATTAGATAGGATTTTGCACCCCAATTATTATGAACCCTAGCTAATTGATACCAGATAAGAACAGTATAAAACCGTATTCAATGAACTGTCTAATAACTGTACAGATGAAGGTAATATATACAAGAGAAATCAGAGAGACTAGGATAGGAAGTAGGAATCATAGGGAAACTATGATAGGAGTCATAATGTGACTCAAATATATAGAGTTATAGTATTAGTCCTAATAATATTAACACAAACAATACTAACTATCAACACAATATTTTCTATCAACACAATATTTTCTATCAACACAATAATAAGAATCAACACATATAAAATTGAAATCAAGATAATTGTTCAACATGACATTATATCAATTAATAACGTATAATACTTAATTAATTAAAATAAAAGATAATATTCAATCTAAAAAAAAATTACACGCACTCTTCCAAAAAGTATATTTACCCGCAAGTTTTGAATGTCATTTATTTTATTGGTAGAGTACAAATTTCCTTCAAATGCCTACAAACTAATTTAATTAATCAAATTATTATATATGTTAATAAATAAAATATAATTTAACTATACATATTGCTATTTAAATTCACCTACCCCTTCTAAACAAGCAATTGATGAATATTTTATAACAATATCAAACATGTATCGCAATACACAATAACCCTTTTTGATAAACAGTTAACTTATCAATTAATTTTGACTTATTTGATTAATTGTTTAACTTGGTGAATTACCATTGTTGAGATTTCATTGAAATTGACAAATCTGACAAACAATGTCACATAAGATTAAACTTTCAATTAAGTTTTCAATTGAGACGAAATACTAAAACACTACTGATCATCATTGTTGGTAGCCTCGTCAATGGCGCGAGATGCAAGAATTTGTGCTTTTCTTGATTCTTCTTCCCAATTGATCCTAGCAATAAACGCCAGCAGAATCAGCAAGCAAACTGCAACTCCGGCGGCCAAACCTGTCAGCAATCCGGCGAGTCCGAGGTGAACCTTAAAAGCCAAAATCACACCCAGCGGCAGCGCCAGCAGGTAGAATCCGCAGACGCTGGCGTATGTTCCCAGCCACGGCCTCGCCGTTCCCCGGGCTATTCCACCGGAAACCAACACCGAGAAGTTCATCACCTCCATAACCGCCACTATTAGCATCGTCCTTTTCACTCCTACGATGATCCCTTTCTCGTGCGTGAACAGAGCTCCCCAGAACCCTCTCGCGCCGGCCATGGCCGCGCCGCCGAGGACGCCGGAGACGGCCGCCAAACCCAGCGAGACATACGCGGAGGCTCTCGCGGCAGCCGCGGAGTTGGCGCCGAGCTCGTTGGCGACGCGCACGGAGGCGCAGGTGGCCAGTGACAGCATAACAGAGCACAACAAGTAATCGAAGTTGAGAACAATGGCGATAACCCCCAGCGCCTCCTTCGCGTCCGGGAGGTTTCCGGCGAGAAGAACTATGATCTCGTAGCACCACCATTCCAGGCAAGTTGTGAGGCAGCAGGGTCCGGCGAGTTTAACCATTCTGATCCAATCGCCGCCGCTTTGCTCCCACCACCCTCCCTCTTTCCACTTCCCACCTTTCATGTTTTCTTTTATCACAACGTATATACAAAGCATCACCAAAATCATCAAGTCTGTCACCCAAAACGCCATGGAAACTCCTCGAACTCCCATTGATTTTGACAGAAACACGTTTAAGGGCACATGCAATCCGATTGCTAAAGCCGTGGCCGCCATGATTGGGACGGTTACGTTCTGGGCAGTCAAGTATATCTTCAAAGGGCTCAAGAACGACGTGATAACTAAGTCAGGGAGGAGATGCACGACATATTCCTTGGCCATAATCGAAACATCTTCTTGTTGTCCAAAGCGGAGAAGAATCTTATCAACATTGATCCACAGGAGAGCGATGGGGAGTGAGATAATGAGGAGTAAAGAGGCCGCCATGACAAGCGTCTTGTGGAGGAGGCGGAAATTCTTGGCGCCAAACGCCTGGCCGCAAATCGGCTCCAGGGCGAAGTTGAGTCCGGTGAGAACCGAGAATCCGGTGACATTTGCGAAGGTGAAGCCGAGGGTGGCGCCGCTCAAGGAAAGCTCTCCCAGACGGCCGAGAAACACCGTCGTGATGGTTATCTTGGCGAACCACGTGATGTTCATGAGCAGCAACGGCAGCAGTATGGGGCGCTGCACTTTCAGCTCCGACAGCGTGGGTTTCACCAAACTTTCCGACCATGTTTTCGGCGAGGATAAGGTTGTTGGCGAAACGGGACGATCCTCTTCCAATCTCGAAGCAATATTCATTATTGCGTTTTGCTGCAACTAAATTGTAATGCCGTTTGGTACTAAATTAAAGGAGACAAAACGAGGAATTACAGATGATTTTTTTTTTTTTTGGTATATCCATGGTTTTCACCGTCACACAGTAACTAATGGCTTAAATTGTAAGTCACTTTTTTGAGTGAGACAGTTGACCTGAAGATTTAAGGTTACTTCATTTCTAAAATCAAGGATAAAAAATCTTTGACCAAATGATGAGTCCCTTTCACTCAACCACACCCTCCAAGTTAAGAATTACAGA